CCCTCTCTTTCCTCTCCGAATTCAATAAAAATGTATTTAAAAAAATAAATAATACCCATGAAGATAAGTTTCTGAGAAAAAAATTACAAACTATAACTGGACCCACCACAAGGAAATCTCAGTAGGTGAACTGCAAGCCAATTAACATGACTAACCACGGTTAGTAATATGATACAAATTACCAGCATTTAGGGGGCATGAAATTCCATTTCACATTAATTTCTCCCAATACTAGCTGAGGAATTTCTAAGTGGGAGGGAGGGGTTGAGGGGAGGAAATCTGGTAGATGGGGTGGGGGCTAGAAGACGTGTTTTGAAATTCAATTTGCAAAGCAGCATAATGTTGCTACTTAAATTCCATCTGCTTATTGGTGGGGGAGGGGCACGGAGGTTAAGATTATAGGGGTGGCTGACCCCAGTCCCTAGCCATGCCTTGTCGTCACAGGCTTTTGACTCTAATTTTAGCCCTTTCTTGGACAGTTTCTTGATGGCAAAAACTGGATGAAAGGGAGACTAAATTTTGTTGTTTTCTCAGCTAAGCGTAGTTAGCTCAGTCAGAACCAGCTCCCCAGAAAGGGATGAGGGGTGGGAAAGTGGGGGGTAATGCAGCCTACAAAACCCTCCCGCTTACATCTCTCCTTACACCTTGTAAACTGATGGACCTCCAACCTCCTTTCTCTGGGCCAGAGCTTCCCAAACTGTGTTTCCTGCATATCAACAGATCTAAGAAAAATGGCTTCCAGGGTCAAATGAGCTTGGAAATGTTATATTGTGAAGGGAGTGTATTCATTTCCCAGGGCTGCTATAATAAAGTACCGCAAACTGGGTGGCTGAAGGCAGGATACATTCATTCTCGCATAGCCTTGGAGGCTGGAAGGCTGAGATCAAGGTGTCAGCAAGGTTGGTTCCTTCTTGGAATGCATTCCATGCCTCACTCTTAGCTTCTGGTGTGGCTGGCAATCTTTGGCATTCCTTTGGCTTGTAGACCCATCTCCAACCCATGCCTCCTTCTTCACATACTGTTCTCCCCGTGTGTCCACGTCTTTTCTCATTTAATTAAAAAAATTTTTAAATCTTCACCGTGGATATTTTTCTATTGATTTTTAAAGAGAGGGAAAGACAGAGTGAAATATCGATGTGAGAGAAACATTGATTGGTTGCCTCCTGCACATGCCCCGAGCTGGGCTGAAGAAGCCTGCAACCGAGGTACGATGTGCCCTTAACCGGAATCGAACCCCAGACCCTTTGGTCCGCAGGCCGACCACTGATTCAAACCGGCTAGGGCAGTGGTCGGCAAACTGCGGCTCGTGAGCCACATGCGGCTCTTTGGCCCCTTGAGTGTGGCCACGAAGTTTCAATCGCACTGTACGTGCGTGCCCACGTGGTATTTTGTGGAAGAGCCACACTCAAGGGGCTGCAGCTTGCCGACCACTGGGCTAGGGGAAGACTTGTTTATTTTTAATGGAGTATCCCAGTGTTCTGAGGAACGTATTTGGGTGAATGAGAAAGTGGGTGTACAATGCATGCCTCGAGGGGACACAATTCACATTGTAGACATGGTAGATCCAATTTTCTTGTAATAAGAGTGTCCTGTTCTCAAAACAATTATTTTGTGACAATTTTCCAGTAGGTGTCAATAAATTGCCTTGAAGAAGGGGCACCTTTTCCAGTTGATACAAAGGTGACATATGGTCCTGAGTAGGACGGAGAAGCCATCATCACGGACTCTTGGATGTTAGATCTGAAATGGCTCTTGAGAGAGGACTGGGTTTGTTGGGAATCTTGCTTACGAATAATAGAAACCCAACTCCAACTGGCTAAAGCCAAAAGGGGAAGTAATCATTGAACTCAAGAACAGGCATGCATCCAGGGACTCCCACACAGCCAGGACCTGCCTGTCTCTCTGTATTCCCCTTTCTGCTTCTCTCAATGCATCTGGCTCCTGCTATCTTCCCTTCCTAGCCGACATAGTCCAAAAGATTGCGGCAGACAGCTCCTGGGTGTCACACAGTAGAGATTCATAGGCCAGCAGAGCGACTGGCCTCTTCCAGGTTCCGGTGTCAAAATTCCGGGGAGGAGACTTAACTGGCTCAGTTTTGATCAGATCAATCACATGGCCAGTATGTGTGTGTGAGAGAGACACATAGCAACCCAGTGGTGTTGGGGAGGGAGTGGACAAGAGGTAAAGGTCACACATCCTACAGGGCGTTTCTGGCACAACCACGGATCACTGAAGGTTGCCATTAAAAAAACACAAAACACCTTTCTTTAAAAAAAATTTTTTTTAATTGACTTTAGAGAGAGAAAGGGAGAGGGAGAGGGAGGGAGAGGGGGAGAGAGAGAGAGAGAATTATCGATTGATTGCCTCCTGCACGCTCCCTACTGGGAATTCAGCCGCAAACCAGGCATGTGCCCTGACTGGGAATTGAACCGAGACCTCTAGGTTCAGGGGTGGACTTCAACCACTGAGCTGCACCGGCTGGGCTACAGCTGCCACTTTTTTTTTTTTTTAAAGCAGTTATTATGTATCAGAGACTGTGCTTGGTTTATGAGATGTAATCCTTAGGACAACCCTATGAGGTTGGTAGTACTATCTCTACAGGTTAGGACATTTAGGCTTCAATAAGCGACTGCCTTTTCCTGGGTCTTCTGTGCATACATTCCTATTAGTTAAACGCCTAAGCAAATGCTAAAATTTAGCAGCTAAATGGATCATTAACAAAGCTCTTTTTAAACCGACTGGGCTGAAACTCCACGCGCGTGAGGTTCCCACTCTCTGCCACTAGGTGACGTCAGGACCTGTCCACCCCTACGTTCCTTTCCGAGAGCCACGGCTGACCTTTCGCCACCTCCGTGTTGTCCGCCAATCAGTTTCGAGTGTGCGCGCGGCATCCCGCGCTGAAGTCGGAGCGGCCTCCCGGTTTCCTGCCGTCCTCCCGGACTGCCGCCTGCACCACGCTCCGACTTTCCTTTCCGCCACACGAGTTCTCGCGATACTTGCTGCTGGCTGCCCCGCCCACCGCCTTGCGCCTGCGCAGCTCTTCAGCTAGCAGAAGGTCGCGCCTGGAGAAAGTGGAGGCTTGGCGTCTCGTGGTCGCGGCGCCGTTGCTACCTCTCGGAAGCTCCCCTCGGCCGCTTGCCGAGACACCCGGCCGCCAAGATGCCTCGAATTATGATTAAAGGGGGCGTGTGGAGGAATACCGAGGTGAGTCCCCCTTTCCCGCCGTCCGCTGCCCTTCGCCCCCGCCGGCAGCTTGTGCGCAGGCGCGTGGAGGTCGCGGAGGCGCGGAGACCTTGCAGGGGGTCTGGGTTGGGGGCGGCGCCGGGCGGACCCTCCGCGCCTTTCCCGGTCCCCGACCCTGTGTTGTCTGAGCACTTCCAGGACAGGGACTGTGACTTAGCCACCTGGGTACCTGCCAGGCACTTGCTAGGCCCCTAGTGAGCATCCGTTGAGTAGAGGATGCACCCCCCCGGCCCCCCACCACGGAACTCAGTCTGGAGGGGGCGGTAGGACCTCAGCGAGAGTTGGTCTTCTTGGGGGGCACCCTTGCCCCTCAGCCTGGGCACCGTGCCCTTCTTCGATGCTCAAACATGAAGTGCCGTGGCCACAACTTTGTTTCTGTTTTGACTTCCGTGCAGAGGGGAAGCGGCTCGAGTGCCGGGTTTGAAGAGCCCGTTTGTCCCTCTTGTTATCTGTTATCCAGGCGTAATTTTGCCAGTCCTCCCGACAGACCCCATGCGTGTCTCGTCCTGTCGTCCCTCCGCCTGGAAAGAAGGCAGATGGGGCAAACTGATGACAGTAGTTTCGTTGCTTCCAGAAATGTAGTGGATCATGCCAGTGGTGAGCCCGTAGAGCAGCGGTTCTCAACCTGTGGGTCGCGACCCCTTTGGCGGTCGAACGACCCTTTCACAGGGGTCGCCTAAGACCATCCTGCATATCAGATATTTACATGACGATTCATAACAGTAGCAACATTACAGTGATGAAGTAGCAACGAAAACAGTTTTATGGTTGGGTCACAACATGAGGAACTGTATTTAAAGGGCCAGAAGGTTGAGAACCACTGCCGTAGAGGGAGAGGAAAAGAGAAAGATGTCAGTGCAGCTCGTGTTCAGAGTGCACGAGATTTGCCCGTTTCTGGAGCACATTGTATCTTTTCACGAGCTGTGTATTTATACATCTTGTACTTTCTTTAAATAATCCTCCTCCTGCTCGGCCTCTTTCCGACCATCCTTCAAGATCCAGTTTAGAAACTCTTCTTGGAATTTTTGCCCACTTTTCTGTAAAAAAATTAGTTCTACCCCGAGAGTTCTCATCGCCCCTCTTTCACCCGTTTGTTATAGCTTGCTTTGGCCTTTTCCAGGCATCACATCCTGCTCTGTGATCCTGGGCAAGCTTCTTAACCTCTCAGAAACTCAGTTTTCTCATTTTTCTAATGATAATCATTAGTATTCTTTCAGTAAGTGCTGGTTGCTATTGCTTTCCCCCAGCAGACAGCATTGCAAGAGGACCGGATCTTGGTCTCCCTACAACCTAGGACAGGAACCAACATGATAGTAGGTTGCTTAGTAAAATGTGGAATGCATCTAGTAGGTAGAAAACTGCTAAACAGGGGTGGGCAAAAGTAGGTTTACAGTTGTGAGTACACAAAACAGTTTACTCTTGTATTGTTATGTATTAATTATTGTACTACTTACTTGTATTACCACTTTGTAAACCTATTTTTGCTCATGCCTGTATATACTAAAAGTTGAAGGAGTGTTTAAGTATAGCAGCCACAAAGTTACAAGTAAAGTCAGCCACCAGACAACTTTGCCTCACAGCTTGCTCAGAGGGCACCTGGCTGTTTAAATCGGAGAAGAGATGACTTCTGGCGGACAGACAGATGTACAGAATCACGTAGCAGCAGGATTCTGCTGCAGTGGCCTGAACTTTGAAGTCGGATGATGGGAAGGTGCGGTGGGGTGGAGCAGCTCATGTGTTAGGTGTATAGCTCAAGTGGAAAAAACCCTAAAAGCAAAATGCCCAAGTGCATTAATCTATGGCTTTTATTATCTTTGGTGTCTATGGCTTATCTTGCTGGGCTCCCTTGAGATTGGTGAATTCCATATCAGAATGGGTACCCTGGTGAAATAATATCTGGAGGCTGGAGGGAGAGCCAACTGGTGGGGTGGGAGAGAAATAATTCTCAAGTTACACCTGGATATGTATTCTAGGGTCAGAGTGGGGGTTATGGGACTGGAGAAAAAATGCTATTCATAAACTGGAGGCAGGAAGCCTGGATTGGATAATGGAGAATCTTGACTTAGGGCTGGGCGTGTCCTGTTGGATTCTCTTTCGCTATGCACACAAGATCTGGTGTAGGTAGGTGTTCAGGAAATGTCTTTTGATGGAATAAATGTGTGAATGAACTGTACTCTTTTGAGGAGAATAACATATTAGAGAATAGTTTTTTGTTAGTCTCTTTCAAAAGTAGGGTTTCTCAGTTTGGGCTGTTTCCATCCCAGTGTATTATGGGGTGGGGTGGGGTTCTGTGTAAGGGAGGGTAGACAGCCCTTCTAAGAGGTGTCTTCTTAATTTCTTGCATTTGGCTGATTCTGGCTTTCTGTTTATTATGATAGTAAATGAGGACTTTGTACCTTTTTAAAAAAATCTAGGACAGTGATTTTCAATTTTCATCTCATGGTACTACTAAGATTCTGAAGCACACCAAAAATTATATTATTTTTTGCCAATTTGACACACACAGAAAAAGTATAATTTTGATTCATTTACCCCAGACAGCTATTGTTATGCTGGCTGTTGTCATTTTTTTATTTGGCAATCTAAGGGGAAAAGAGGTCAGTCCCCCTGACTAAATAGTCAGGTACTGCATGTTTTAAAAGTTCTTGTGGCACACCGGTTGAAATTCACTGATCTAGGAGGTATGTGTGTGTCTTTCTTTTTCTTTCCAGAAACCCTGTTAGAGCTCATTTAAATTTTGTCTTTTCTCACTTGGAATTTTGTGATTGATTATACTGTTTTTCTTTGACAATTTTTTTTAGGATGAAATTCTTAAAGCAGCGGTAATGAAATATGGGAAAAACCAGTGGTCTAGGATTGCCTCACTGCTGCATAGAAAATCAGCAAAGCAATGCAAAGCCAGATGGTATGTATCAGTTAGTGAATGGAAAACAGAAAACAACTTTAATTATTTGAGGAAAATGTCAGTTCTTTGACCCTTACCAAAGAAAGAAGGTGTTGTGATGTAACAGAAAGGATGAAGTGGGAGATGGTAATTTATTTTTTTAATTATATTTTTATTGATTTCAGGAAGGGAGAGGGAGAGAGAGATAGAAACATCAATAATGAGAGAGAATCATTGACTGGCTGCCTCCTGCATGCCCCCTATTGGGGATCAAGCCCGAAATCCAGACATGTGCCCTTGACCGGAATCGTACCCGGGACCCTCAGTCTGCAGTCTGACACCCTATCCACTGAGTCAAACCAGCTAGGGCGAGATGGGAATTTAGATTTAAGACTTAACTGTCACTTGGTTTCTATGAACTTAGGCAAGGCATTTTTCTATCCTCTATTCTGCCCTGTTTTATCCCATTTGGGGATGATAATACTTGGCTCCATCTGGTGGAGATATGAGGCCCAAGTGAGTTAATGTGTTTGAGACTGCTTTGTGAAGCATAAAATAAATCTGCTTTTAGGTAAAGATGGACTCAAGCTTATAAGTGGATTGTGCTCCAAAAGTTTAAAAGTTGGTTAGAACTTTCTTTCCCAAAGAAATGAATGATAAATAATGGCTAACTTCTAGACTGGCTCACAATAGTTGAGTTTCCTCATATTACAGTTGAAATTTTGTATATTTGCTACCCCAAAATGTAGCAAAACCCATCATACACCTGTGGTATCCCCTTTTAAGTCACAAAGTAGTGGACACATTAAACTTTTTACATGTGTTCTTGGCACAGATGATCTGGCCCCAGCCTTGACCTAATTGGTACTAGGATCATATTTTAAATTGTACAAGAAGGACCTAATTTCCTAGGCACCTGAGTAGGGGAAAGGCTCATAATGTAGGGATTGGACCTCAAAGAGGAAGATGGTCCTCAGCCTGAACAAGTGGTTCTGATTTCTGCTTCTCTTAGTGGCGCTAAGTCCCTGCCTGATGTTTGGTAAGGGTTATATCTTACTTGCTAGCCTCTCATTCAGCTAAATAAACTGGATGGAAAAGGTGGGTTGGGTGGGTTGGGAAAGACAGATAATGACAATAGTTCACTTAAATTTAAAAACACCAAACAAAAGCAGTGACTATTCTGTTGTAAAAAAACAGCTTTTATAATTGAAGGATGAGAGTTACCTTTTGTTTTCAGACACTAGAAGTCAGTATATCTAATATGTAAATAGCATATTCATGCTAGGTGACTGATTAATGTATAAAATTGTATATTTTTAATAGGTATGAGTGGCTCGATCCAAGCATTAAGAAAACAGAATGGTCCAGAGAAGAAGAGGAAAAACTCTTACACTTGGCCAAGTTGATGCCAACTCAGTGGAGAACCATCGCTCCAATCATTGGAAGAACAGCTGCCCAGTGCTTGGAACACTATGAATTTCTTCTGTAAGTGGATCTCCAAAAGCAGTATTAAAATGTGTGTATATCTTCTGAATGAGTCTGAATAAGATTTTAGCATTTTCTGTCTTTAAACATTTAGTTACAGATTTGAGTAAAGATAAAGGAACTAAAGCTATTGGATGGTATACTCCAAATCTCATGTGGTTGATCAGTGTTATTTACTCTGTTATATTCCTTTTTAAAGGAATAATTTAAAAATATACAAACCATACATGTTCATCATAGAAAACCTAGAGAAAAAGTAGTAAAACAAAAATCACTCATAATACTGCTGAGAGTTAACCATTGCAACATTTTATTTCATCACTAATAGTGTGTGTGTGTTTCTTGTATAACTGTACTGCATTTGTGATTAAGGGACTGCTTGGATCCTATTTTATAGTGAATGGAAACATTGAAATTAGAGGTAATTTTAATACCATTTCTTTCAGGTGAAGCAATAGCAGGAATGCTTTATTTTGTTAATGCCCATTCATTGGGGTTATCTTTTTTCTTAATTGAATGTATTGGGGTGACATTGGTTGATAAAATTACATAGGTTTCAGGGGTATAATTCTACAACACATCATCTGTACATTATATTGTATGTTCACCACCCCAAGTCAAATCTTCTTCTATCACCATTTATCCTCCCTTTACCCTTTACTCCTCCCCCCAACCCCTTTCTCCCTGGTAATCATCATACTTTTGTCTGTCTATGAAGATTTTCTGTTTTGTTTGTTTGTTTTTGCTTAATCTCTTCACGGTTTTCACCCAGCCCCTCTATCCTCTCCCTTCTGACAGCTGTCAGTCTGTTCTCTGTATCTATGAGTCTGTTTCTATTTTGTTTGTTAGTTTAATTTGTTCATTAGATTCTACATGTAAGTGAAGTCATATGGTACTTGTCTTTCTCTGACTGGTTTATTTCGCTTAGCATAATACTCTCCAGCCCATTTATGCTGTCCCTTTGGGTTTTTGAAAGAAAATAGTTCCAACGCTAAGAAATTTGTTATTTCTAAGACTAAATGATGTGGTAGAATTACTACCTCATCTGGATTCTTTTCTAGGGATAAAGCGGCCCAAAGAGACAATGAAGAGGAAACAACAGATGATCCACGAAAACTTAAACCTGGAGAAATAGATCCAAATCCAGAAACAAAACCAGCACGGCCTGATCCAATTGATATGGACGAGGGTAAGTGTATGTTTGTGAGGAATTTATTTCTTTGGTAACTTACACACTTCTCAGGCTTCTTTTTAACTCTTTTAATTCCTTCCTAAACACCTCTGACTTTTTAGAATTCCACTTCAATCTGATGTTATTCTGTCTCATTTTAAATGTGTCCAGTCTTCGATTATAGAGTATTTGTACTCTATAATTTTTGGACAATGTCCCTTTATCGCCTCATTTTTCAATTCATTTAATAAGGTAAGCAATGTAATATAGAGGACACATTGCTTGGAGGCTAGAGGTGAGCACTTGAGATCCTGTATTCTTATACCCATTCTGTGGAGAGAGCTAAGAAGTCAGGATATGGGCTCCAGTCCTATTAACTACTTCTTTGACTTTAGGCAGGTAACTTAATCTGCGGATAAGCACTACCACAAGACTGTGATGGAGATTTAGGATGACTCCTTGAGACATTGAATCCAGAATCAGAGGAACTGGATTTTAGACCTGTGTCTGCCATTTATTAGCTGTTTGACACTAGGCAAGTTGTATAATATCTTTGAACTTTGATTCTATTTCCTGCCAGATGGAGAATAATATCTATCTTACAGGATTGTTATGAAGTATTCAATGAATATTGAGTTTTTAAATTTGTTTGAGGGTAGTGGTTCCCAAACGCTTACAATGGCTGGTCTGGCTGCATTATTGTTACATGGGGAACTTTTAAAAATATAGGTACAAGAACCTCCCCTGGAGATAACTGAGTCAGTAATTTCAGGGTGGAGGGGTGAGATTTTTCAAAGTTCTGAGATTTTGAGATCTGGAATCTGAGATTTTTCAAAGTTCCCTCATGAGTTCATTGGACAGCCTTGAATAGGAACTGGCCTAAGGCATCAGTAATGAGGAGAGAAATACGTCTGAGGAAAAAAGGTGTGTCTAGTGAAGATGATCAGTTCCTTTATAATTAAACTATAGGCCCGGTGCACGAATTCGTGCACCAGTGGGGTCCCTTGGCCTAGCCTATGGGATCGGGCTGAAACCAGCTCTCCCAGGGACCCCACCAGTGCATGATCGGGGCCAGGGAAGGACATGGGAGGTTGGCCAGCCGGGGAGGGACTGTGGGAGGGCTCCAGGGTGTGTCCGGCCCATCTCCCTCAGTCCCAACCAGCTGGACCCCAGCAGCCATCTAACCTACCAGTCAGAGCGTCTGCCCCCTGGTGATCAGTGCACATCATAGCGACCAGTCACTGCCCCCAGGTGGTCAGTGCCCGTCATAGCGAGCGGTTGAGTGGCCTTAGCATATCATTACCATATTACTCTTTGATTGGTTGAATGGATGACTGGACACTTAGCATATTAGGCTTTTATTATATAGGATAGTAGTTGTGCAATATTTCACAATTTGTGCTTTGCCAGTTAGTAGATGATAATGAAGGATATAATTATAGCCACTTTTTACTGAAAAGTTGCTAGATGCTTTTTCTAATTTCATTTTACTTAGCTCTTCTCAAAATACCTGTTATGTAGGAGTTGTTGTATTTATTTATAGGAGATGATTTTTCTCGTCTTACGCACTAGAGTATGCCTCTCACATACCTTGCTTCTGTTGGAGAAGAACTTAGTTTTTCTTCTCTTTATTTTTGTAGATGAACTTGAGATGCTTTCTGAAGCTAGAGCCCGCCTGGCTAATACTCAGGGAAAGAAGGCCAAGAGGAAAGCAAGAGAGAAACAGTTGGAAGAAGCAAGGTATGGTTGTTTCCATTCATAGTTGAACAATTAGTCTGTGCAGCCTTAGTCTGATAAAACTGCATGATTTATCCAACCCTGTTGATGAGTAATAATTAGAATTGTTCAATTCTAGTTTTGGTAATATTCTTTATTGCTTTGGAAATGTCTTACTTTCCCCCCTAATCATTTCAGAATATAGAAAAAAAGACAGATTAAAAGTTTTTTTTGGTAAGATATGGCAGAAGTAATGCCCAGGTAATCTATTCAGCATGTTGGATTTTTCTGTTAGCACAGGAGTGCTTCTTTGTTGTAGCCATCTTGGAGTCGGATGGCTAGAGGACACACAGGCTGTGTGACTTTTGCATGATTGCCAGTTAGTTCCTCTCCTTGATTAGTTTTGGGCAGGCACTGACTTAAAACAGGAAACTTGACTGAACTTAGAGGGAGTTAATGATCCTTAAACCATATTTTAGACTTTCACAGAAATGTTTATTTAAAAAGTGAGTTTAGTGTTGCCCTCTATTCAAGGTTTTCTCCACTTTCCCCTTCCTTTTTCCTTTTGATGAGAGCCATGATTGACGTCATTCGTAATAGCCCAGAAGTGGATAAAGGGAAGACATGAACTGTATGTTTATTAGCTTTTGGAGTTTAGGCATTGTAATAACTTCCCTAGCCTACACAGCTGCCTTTTATGGTCCCCAAACCAGGAAGTGCTTCCTCACCTAATGACTAGCATTGTGTTGATGGTTTCCCCAATAATGGCTTTGTAGTGCCAGATCCTGGGATGGAGGATTATTTCATGCTTGAGGATGCTTGTTGGCATAGCTGGCCAGTCACTAGCCCAGAATAGTTATGTATGATGGGAGAATGACTGGGCTGGGACAGGAAGCAAAAACCAAGAGGAGGTACTAAAATTTCTGCCCAGTCTCAGCCACCTTTCTGTACATTTGTTAGGATTAAATAATTTGAGTAAGGTTGAAAAAAATCACTTTTCCAAGTGATTTTCTATGGTTGGTTGGGAAACATTTTTTGAGCCTTTTAACCATGTGGATTGGGCTCAGGATGTGGCAAGTGCATATATGAAAAATCTCCAAGTATGGCTGACATTGCTTGCTTTAATGAAAAATTTCCAGCTTGAGCTCGGCCTGCATGGCTCGAGGGTTGAGTGTTGACCTATGCACTAGGAGGTCACCGTTTGATTCCTGGTCAGGGCACATGCCAGGTTGCAGGGTTGAAACGTGCAAGAGATAGCCGATCTATGATTCTCTCTCACCATTGTTGTTTCTATCTCTCTCTCCCTCTCCCTTCCTGAAATCAATAAAAATATATTATAAAAATTTTCAGCTTTAAAGTTACCCTACACCTTCTTGTAGATTTTCTTGGATGGTCTACACATCTTTATAATTTATTTTGCATGTACTAGTATATCAGAGATTTTCAACCTTTTTCATCTCATGGCACACATAAACTAATTATTAAAATTTTGCAACATACCAAAAAATATATTTTTTGTTGACCTGACCAAAAAAAATAGGTATAATTTTGATTCACTCACACCAGATGTCTGTTATTGTGTTGGCTGGTGTCATTTTTTTAAATTTGACAATCTAAGGCCGTGGTTCTCAACCTGTGGGTCGTGACCCTTTTGGCAGTCGAACGACCCTTTCACAGGGGTCACCTAAGACCATCCTGCATATCAGATATTTACATTACGATTCATAACAGTAGCAACATTACAGTTATGAAGTAGCAACGAAAATAATTTTATGGTTGGGTCACAACATGAGGAACTGTATTTAAAGGGCCAGAAGGTTGAGAACCACTGATCTAAGGGAAAAGAGGTCAGTGCCCCTGACTAAGTAGTCAGGTAACACATATTCTAAAAATTCTTGTAGCACACTGGCTGAAAATCGCTGGACTAGAATGGCCTGTATGCAAAATGCAGTGCAGGACTATTTAAATGCTAAATTACTTATCTGTTTTATAGCTTAAAGCTTTCTATTGATTACAAAAATAACATTTTTCCTTCAATATTGTTCTATTTTCTTTTTGGGGCATGGTTGATATAATGCTATAGAGCTTGGCTATATTCACTTAATATTATATTGCAGAGGTTTTCTAATGTCATTTGAAGTCTTTATTTCCTTTATTTAAAGCAGGGGTGGGGAGCGTCTGGTCTGCGGGCCATATAAGGCCCGCAAAATCATTTGGTCTGGCCCTACTAAGGCATTAGGGGTGAGTTAATAAAATGTTTGACCAAATAGAGCAGACTAATTTTAAGGTGATAATTTTTTATGGCCCGTGAATGATGTTATAAATGTCCAAATGGCCCTTGGCAGAAGAAAAAAGGTTACCCACCCCTGATTTAAAGAATGAAGCTATTTTAACTTTTGAAATGTGTCCTTTGAAACCTTTTTTTTTATTATATAGAATTTTATTGGGGTGACATTAGTCTACATGAACATATAGGTTACATGTGTGGGTTACTAAAACCTTTTTTAATATACATGTATATTTATGTGTATGTACACACAAAATAACATATAAGATTAGATCAAACTATGTATAGTGTTTTTTTAAAAAAATTGATTCTTAGAAAGAGAGGAAGGGAGAAGGATTGGGAGAAACATCTGATCGGCTGCCTCTTGCATGCCCCCTACTAGGGATTCAGCCGGCAACCTTTCCATGCTGGTCAACACCCAACCAGCTGACCACACACACTGGTCAGGGCCTATGCATATTGTTTTGATGAGAAGTCAGCTGTTAATTTATTAAGGTTCACTTGTAAGTGTTGAGTCAGTTCTCTCTCTTGCTGCTTTCAAGATTTTCTCCTTGTCTTTGGCTTATAGCATTTTTTTAAATATGATGTTTCTGTTTGTGGATTTCTTTGTTATGTTTATCTCAGAGTTTTGAACTTTATGCATGTGTAGGTTAATGGTTTTCAGTAAAATTGGGAAATTTTCGTTCAGTACTCCTTGAAGTATTTTGCTCCCTTTATTCCTCTCATCTTTTGCTACTCCTTTTGTGTATATATTGGTGCACTTAATGGTGTCCCACATTTCTGTGAGGCACTGTTCATATTTCTTCATTCTTTTTTTCTCTGTTCTTCAGATTGCATAATCTTTGTTTGCTAATTCTTTTGTCAGTTTGAATCTACTGTTGAACCCTTCTATTGAAGTTTTCATTCCAGCTTTATACTTTTCAACTCCAGAATTTTCATGTGGTTCTTTTTTTTTTTAATCCTCACATGAGGATATTTTTTTCCCATTGCTTTCTAGAGAGTGGAAGGGAAGGAGGAGAGGGGGAGAGAGAGAAACATGGATGTGAGAGAGAGATATCAATTGGTTGCCTCTCATACATGCCCTGACCAGAGCTGGGGAACTTGGAACTGAGGTACGTGAGGTATGTGTGGTATATGTTCCCTTGACCGGGAATTGAACAGTGCATGGGCCGATACCCTAATCACTGAACAACACTGGCCAGGGCTTCTCTTTACTTAATCATTGTTTCCTTTTGTTCTTGGACAATATTTATAATGGCTCCTTTGAAGTCTGTCTGTTAAATACAAGATCTGGTAGCTCCCACAGACATTTTCTGCTTATTTACTGATGTATGAGTTATGCTTTCCTTTTCTTTGCCTATCTCCTAACTTTTTGTTGAGAACTGTAGAACTTAGAGGATATATTATAGTAATCTTGGTACTGGTGTTCCTCACACCTTGTTATTGTTATTTGCTTGTTTACTTGTTTGGTGACTCTATTTAGTACAGTCTGTTCTCCCCTTCCTTCATCTCAGAAATGTGAAGCCTCCTATCTTACTCCTCTTGGGTATGCCCACAGTCACCCTGGGGTAACATGGTTTGACAGGACTTTATTTGACACCTTTTTTCCTGGGTGCACCCAACTCTACATTTGCTAGGTGATTGCTTTATTCTTTTCAACAGTGTTTTGGGGCATAAATTACTTTCACAGACTGATCCAATCAAATTTGGGCTCCTTTGAAGGGATAGTTTCTGGCTGATACTTGTTGTGACCCCAGGGGGCCTTCTCCCACCTGTCTCTCTGTTTCTCTCTGGCAAACTAGTGGGTGTACTGTTTAGTCTATATAGTCAACAACAGTTTCTTCCCAGTTACTTCACCCCAACTTTCTGTGTTTTTGAGTACTCATAGGCTTAACCCCTCCATGCTTTGTGGAGTGATTTGGAATTCCTGTTTTACTACTGCACTCTGATGTGCTTGTCTGAGTGACATCCTTACTTTAGGAGCTGAGTGCTTGGTGAGGCGGTGAAGCACTCCAGCTTTCCTCAGCCTGCCTCTCCCAGCATGGAACCCTCATCCCACAATCTGGGCAAAGGCAGTTGGGGCTCTAGTGTTCTCGGAAGCAATGTGTCTGGGCAGAAGAAGGAAGCCAGGACTTCTCAGCTGCTCTGGATGGGACTAGCCTCAGCAGTAGGTGTCTGGAGGCAGGATGAGAAATGCTGCTCCTGTATTAAAAGCCCTCCTACTGGGAGCTAGAGAAGAGACCCAAGAAGCCTGTGTTCTTGGCTGCACCAGTGGAGTTTCCATCTCCCTGAGCTGGGAGGGAGGAAGAGAAGGAGTCTCGCTTTTCTTACCAAGTTTTAGTAGGTTTTCTTGAATAAATGTTTCTTCATTCGTTGTATCCCCTTAGGATCCTTTGCAGAGACTTAAAATTATTTAAAATAAATTTTTTAAAACTAATCTTTATCTGTTCTGCTAGAGTGGGTCTACAGAGCCTCTTCAAGCTGGAACTTGCTCCTATACTTGATTACCCCCCTTAATATTGTGAATAACTTTCTCACCATTAAATCATTAAAATTATGGAATCATAAGAAAGTACAAATAAAGTAAAAAATTAAATAAAATCGCAACTTCGAGTGATAATCACTGTTAATATTTTGGTGGGCATCCTTCATATCTCCCCACACATATATTCATTAATAGATACACATATACTTTTACATGTTGCTCTGTAACATGTAAACTTGAAAGTTTTTACATGCAGTGTGTCTTCGGCATCTTTCCATGTCAAAGTAGATTTAAAGACTTTTTAAAGGTTATATGGATGGCTGTATAATATCCTATCTTATAGCTGTGTATAAATTCATTTAACTAGTTTCTTACTGTTGGATGTTTAGATTATGCTAGTAATCTGCCATTAGAAATAGTGCTTAAAGGACAGTTTTATAGCTAAGTCCTTGTTCATGCTCTTATTTCCTTAGGCTAAGGTTGGGTTAAAAAATGTGAAAAACATTAGTGTTTTAATGTATATTTCTAAATTCTCTTGAGGAAAGCTACACCAGTTTACTTTCTTAACTGCCAGTGTGGGTGAGTGTCTGCTTTTTAGCACCATTGCCATTAAAACAAGACAAAAAGCTGAATGCTAGTAAGTAGAAACACAGAAATGGTACTTGTTAATTTAATTCGTGACTTTAAAAGTATTAGTTAAGTAGACCTTTAGCCATTTCAGCAATTTGTATTTTTTTTTTCCTTAGTGAACTTTTTATTTCCTATTGTTTATTTCAGTTGGGTTGCATAAATTCTTTATATCTAACCATTCCTAATAATTACAAATATTTTCTCTATTATTTACTTTTTAATTTTGCTTTATGATTTTTTAAAAATAGTGCTACAGCCCTAGCTGGTTTGGCTCAGTGGATAGAGCGTCAGCCTGTGGACTGAAGGGTCCCAGGTTCGATTTCGGCCAAGGGCACATGCCCGGATTGCGGGCTCGATCCCCCCCAGTAGGGGGCGTGCAGGAGGCAGTCAATCAGTGATTCTTTCTCATTGATGTTTCTATCGCCCTATCTCTCTCCCTTCCTCTCTGAAATAAAAAAAGGAAGAAATTTCAAATTACAGTTAAAAAAAAGAAATGCATAAAAAATATAGTGCTACAGAGATATAAAATTTAAATTTTAAAGCCTTTGTTCTTTTCCTTTGTCTTTTATTTATATTTGGTGAGTACATTTCCACCCAGAGATAAGATATATATTTATTTATACATAGTTTCTTCTGATTTTAATTTTTCTTTTGTGTGTGTGTACTTTAAATTGAAACTGAACTTTATTTTGGGGAATGGAATGAGGTGAGGATTTTATCTCTTTCTCAAATAACCAATTAGTTTTCTTAACACTATTGGATAATCCATCCCTTACCCATGGCATATGATTTTTAAGGTGGTCTTGTGTTCTTTTTCTTCAGACGCCTTGCTGCCCTCCAAAAGAGAAGAGAACTTCGAGCAGCTGGCATAGAAATTCAGAAGAAGAGAAAAAAGAAGAGAGGAGTTGATTATAATGCTGAGATCCCATTTGAAAAAAAGCCTGCTCTTGGTTTCTATGACACTTCAGAGGAAAACTACCAGGCTCTTGATGCAGATTTCAGGAAGCTAAGACAACAGGATCTTGATGGCGAGCTAAGATCGTAAGTGCCTTTCTGATTTTGACAATGGAATTTTATGGAGGACCAGGTATTATCCTTGCCAGAGTCAGATTTTTATTACTTAGCACAGGGTAGCCTATGTATGCTTTTATTTATTTAATGGGCTCACCTTTCTGAGAAAAATCAGTCCTGTGTTTGGCATAGAATGCTCTTTGGAGCTCTTGAAATGTCAGCACTGCTCTTAGTGAACTGTCTACTCACTGAGTCACAATCTTAATTTAAGATTTATGTACTTTTGTAAATAGTTTAGTTGTTTTACTAATAGCCTGAAGGAATCTGTCAATATCAGGTTTATTTTGTTTTTTGTCTTGCATTCTATAATTTGTACTTAGTGGGGATAAGCAGGTATATTTATAAAATGTTTGAGGGTGCAGGAGGTTTTGCCTATTTCAAGGGATTTTTAGAGTTTCTTTAATCCTTATATCTGAAAATTGTGGGGAGAATCATTTATGGTTGTCAAAGATTTTTAGTTTTTCATTTCCTGATTGACATATTATTTTTATTGCATGAATTATTACTAAACAACTGACATTAGCCACTCTAAAACAGGGTTTTCTTGGATATACTCCATTATATTTATTTCTTAAATTAGGTAGCTTCAACAAATAAAGAGCTTAAAGATGAAAACATTTGAAAGGAATAGACTAGATGGGGAAGAGGATGGCACACAGTAGGGAGGAGGCATTCCTGGGCTTCAAAAGTCTGCCTTGAGCCCTGACCGGTTTGGCTCAGTGGATGGAGCATTGGCCTGCGGACTGAAGGGTCCCAGGTTCGATTCTGCTCAAGGGCATGTACGTTGGTTTCGGGCACATCCCCAGTATGGGGTGTGCAGGAGGCAGCTGATCGATGTCTCTCTCTCATCGATGTTTCTAACTCTCCCTCTCCCTTCCTCTCTGTAAAAAATCAATAAAATATATTAAAAAAAAAAGTCTGCCTTGAGCCTGTCTTTCAGTTTCCTAAGAACTTTTTGATATAATTTGTCACGACTTAAATATTCTTTTTAAAAATTTTATGAATTTAAAAAGTCATAAACAATTGAATAAAAGTTTTAAAGGGAAATTTTAAAATTCACAATATTTTAATTTTATTCCCTTTATATAATTGTTTTTATTTCTATATACTTTTTCATTTTTCTATGTACACATATTTTATATAAGTATAATATGATATAGGAATCGTTTTATGTTGTTTTGATCTTATATGTAACGTTTAGCTTATAGTCTTTATAGTATACTAGAGGCCCGGTGCACGAAATTCGTGCAAGGGGCTCAGCCCTCGCAGCCATGCTGGCTGCCTCTGCCTCAGCCCTCGCAGCCACGGCTTAGTCTGACAGGTCATCTGGTCTAATTAGCATATTATGCTTTTATTATTATTAGATAGCTTTTTTTTTTTAAATATCTTTTTCATTTCAGAGAGGAAGGGAGAGGGAGAGAGAGAGAGAGAAACTTCCATGATGAGAGAGAATCATGGGTCGGCTGCCTCCTGCACGCCCCGAACTTGGTTCGAGCCCACAATCTGGGCATGTGTCCCTGACTGGAATCGAACTGGGGACCCTTCAGTCCGCAGGCTGATGCTCTATCCACTGAGCCAGACCAACCCAGGGCTATAGATAGTTTTAATAGTTAATACTTAAATTACTTAGTATATTGTTTTCTTAATAATTCTGTTATTATTCTAAGTCCTCATTCTTCTTGAATTAGTGGGTAGGTAATGGTGTAGGAACCAACTTAATATATATAGTTTTTGTCTGTTAATTAGTAATTTTCTTAGAAATGGGATTATTTTCAAAATGTATGAGTATTTATATGGCTTTCAATGTTACTGCCGTTATGTAACTTAAAAATCTCTTCTCTACCTTGATCCATGACAGTGAAAAAGAAGGAAGAGATAGAAAAAAAGACAAGCAGCATTTGAAAAGGAAAAAAGAATCTGATTTACCATCAGCTATTCTTCAAACAAGTGGTGTTTCTGAATTTACTAAAAAGAGAAGCAAACTAGTACTTCCTGCCCCTCAGGTAATATGATAAAAGCATATTTTTCATTGTGTGAACTCATATACTGATCATTTATTCAGCAAATAATTTGAGGCCTTATATGCTAAGTTTTTGTTAGAAGCTAGATGTCCTTAAGAAATTCACGGCATAGCCCTGGCCGGGTGGCTCAGTTGATTGGAGCCTCATTCTGTACACCAAAATGTTGCCGGTTCGATTCCCGGTTAGGGCACATAACTAGGTTGCTGGTTCGATCCCCGGTTGAGGGAGTGTATGGGAGGCAACCATTTGATGTTTTTCTCTCACATTGATGTTTCACTCTCTCCCTTCCTCTCTCTAAAAAAAAATCAATTAAAAAATTCATGGTGTAATTATATCAGGCCTGAAACTGCTCATATAATTCAGTAATTGTCAACTTTTAGCAAGGTGTCAGCAGGTTAGGACTCTAGGCCTTTTTCTTGTGGCAGACCAGAATAAAGGTATTGTTTGACTTTGTGGACTTGAGGCTGCTTACTTTTGGTGAATGTTTTGTCATGTCATATTTATATTTCTGAGGCAATAGCAGTGAAAAATCAGTGTGGGAATTGTGAAGAAGAGAGAGAAACATTCCTTCACTCAGCTTATCACAGTCTCTATGCTTTTGACTTCATTATAGTTGGTTATTGGGGATATTGAATAAGCTCTTATTTTTTTCAAAGACTCTGCAGATGAAAAATAACTTTATTTAGTTATTTTTTCCATAGGAGTGGAACCAACTAAACTCTTGTTCTGTTTTGAGTAGTACAGCTCTGTAGAATTTATTTATTTATTTAAATATTTTTAATGACTTCAGAGAGGAAGGGAGAGGGAGAGATTGAAACATCAATGATCAGAATCATTGATTGGCTGCCTCCTGCACGCCCCCTACTGGGGATGGAGCCCATATCGGGTGTGTGCCCTTGATTGGGAATCGAACCTGGGACCCTATAGCCCACAGGCCAACGCTCTATCCACTGAGCAAAACCAGCCAGGGCTGGCTCTGTAGAGTTTAGACAGTTTAGTGGAGCAGAGGGATGGACTTAGGAGGCCAGCGGATCTTCTCTCCTCAAATGAGTGCACTGGCTGCATCAACACAGTGTTCTTTGGCACAAGCAAAATAATTTGCCAGATGCTGCCATTTCTAGTAGTGATTTTTCTAAAATTGAGATTTTGCCTATTATTTTTTTTTTCTTAATACTTCTTAGAATATGTAGTTTGGTAAAATTACTAAGGTAACATATTTTGATTTTCTTAGGGACCTTGTGGAGGAGTGGACTCTCTGTGTGATATTTTAATTGTTTTTCAGTCACCCCCCCCCCCCCCATATGATAGTTTTGTACAAACACAAGTTTTTGGTATATTAATATGTTGCTTATTTTAAAATATTTGTAGTGTGGAAATACACTCAAGACTTCGTAGCTTGATACCATGGAATTCCCCCCTTCACCCTCTGCCACTCACATTATATAGGAAAGACTTTAAAAAAACTGTATTATGGAAATTTTCAAATCCACAACAATAAAGAGAGTGGTACAGTGAACCCTGTGTACTCATCACACAGCTTCAGCAAGTTTATCTTTCTGGAATATGGACGTTTTCAGTTGTGTTGTTTTCTGGTTAGAATACTGTTTACTGTGATAACTTTCTTTTTAGATTTCAGATGCAGAACTCCAGGAAGTTGTGAAAGTAGGCCAAGCAAGTGAAATTGCACGTCAGACAGCTGAGGAATCTGGCATAACAAACTCAGCTTCCAGTACTCTTTTGTCTGAGTACAATGTCACCAACAACAGCATCGCTCTTAGAACGCCACGAACACCAGCTTCTCAGGACAGGATTCTGCAGGTGAGCTGTCATACAGTAGAATGAGCCTTTCCCTTTTTGTTATTGTAAGGATTATGACGCAGAACGCTGAGTGGTTTGGTTTTGTTTCTTTACAGTTTAAAACTGAATCCTGAATGCATGGATCCTAGAGATCTCTGTAGTAGGGAAGCTAAATCAGCAGATTCAGTAGTTAGGCAGTTTTCTTCCTACACTTATTAAGTCTTAGTCTTTAGTACCTGTCAGTAAAGCACTGCATTTTAAAATGTTGCCTAGCAATCCTAGAAAGAAGTCAGATGTGTGTGGTCAGTAATTTTTAAAACTTCCGTGCATTTCTGTACTTAGCTTGGCATAGGCTGCCATCCTCCTTCCCTCTCCTTAACTCCTGAGGTATACAGCTCTGTGTGTTTCTAGGGTGTCTGCATGTCAGAGAATAGCCAAACCTACCAAAACACCATTGAATCTTATTACCCTTACACCTCATTTTTTTTTCTCTAATAGAAATACCGTTTTGTTTTTTTTTAAAATATATTTTATTGATTTTTTACAGACAGGAAGGGAGAGAGAGAGAGATAGTTAGAAACATCGATGGGAGAGAAACATCGATCAGCCGCCTCCTGCACACTCCTACTGGGGATGTGCCCGCAATCCAGGTACATGCCCTTGACCGGAATCGAACCTGGGACCTTTCAGTCCACAGGCCGACGCTCTATCCAGTGAGCCAAACCGGTTTCGGCAGCATATTCCCTTCTTACTGGCTGTGGGCACCACCATCTTTGAGGGTGGGACAGTCACTTAGCATATTCCCTCTTTATTAGATAAGACTAGAGGCCAGATGCATGAAATTAGTGCAAGGGGCTTGGCCCCCACTGTCTTGGCAGCCGTGGGCCTCTGCCTCAGCCCCTGCCTGCTGCGGCTTTGTCCGGAAGGACGTCCAGTCTAATTAGCATATTATGCTTTTATTATTATAGTTAGAGTTATATCATGATTTTGGTTAGCTCCACATTCATGGTTTATCTTATGATTATGTAAACCATAGTCCATTATGAGCCACAAAGTGCCTTATAATTACTGCACAGTATTTTCTTTTTTTAGTTAATAACTTGTTTTATCCTATTGTTAAATTATCTGATTACTTAGCACTAATTCAGCTCCAGACTATACATTAAGTGTAAATCTCCTATAATTTAGGTATTCTTACCTTTTTGAAGAAGACTTTCCCCAAAATTCTGAATGTTCTAGTCTGGACGGATTACGCTTAAGATCTTGTTTACAGCTCCTTCTCTTGATTTCTTTTCACTATCACCCTAGAGCAGCCATGGGCAAACTACGGCCCATGGGCTGGATCCGGCCCGTTTGAAATGAATAAAACTAAAAAAAAAAAAAAAAAAAAAAAAAAAAAAGACCGTACCCTTTTATGTAATGACTAGAGGCCCGGTGCACAAAAATTTGTGCACTCGGTCGGGAGGGGGAGTCCCTCAGCCCGGCCTGTGCCCTCTTGCAGTCTGGGAACCCTCGGGAGATAACGACCTGCTGGCTTAGGCCTGCTCCCGGGTGGCAGAGGGCAGGCCTAATCCCTAGGTGCAGCCCCTGGTCGGTCTCAGAGCAGGGCCGATTGGGGAGTTAGGGTGCCGCCCCCTGTCATGCACAGAGCAGGGCGGATCGGGAGGTTGCGATGCCACCCTCAGTCACGCTCAGGGTAGGGCCGATTGGGGGGTTGGGGCACCGCCCCCTGTCACACTCAAAGCAGGGTCGATGGGGAGGTTGCGGCGCCACCCCCTGTCACGCACAGAGCAGGGCCAATCAGGGGGGTTGGGGCTCCGTACCCTGTCACTCACAGAGCAGGGCCCATCAGGGGGTTGAGGAGCTCCCCCCGTCACAGAGTAGGGCCGATAGGGGAGTTGGGGCACCGCCCCCTGTCACACACAGAGCAGGGCGGATCAGGGGGTTGGGGCGCCGCCACTGTCACACTCAGGGCAGGGCCGATGGGGAGGTTATGGCTCTACCCCGTCACACACAGAGCAGGGCCTGTGGGGTGGGGGGATTGAGGCGTTGCACCCTGTCACACACAGAGCCGCAGGGTGATCAGGGGGTTGGGGAGTTCCCCCTATCAGGCACAGAGCAGGGCCGATCAGGGGGTTGGGGCGCCTTCCCTGTCAGGAACAGAGCAAGGCCGATAGAGAGGTTGTGGCCCTGCCCCCGTCACACACAGAGCCGCAGGGCGATCAGGGGGTTTGGGCGCTGCCCCCTGTCACGCTGATCCCGGTGCTGGGAGGCATATTACCCTTTTACTATATAGAATAGAGGCCTGGTGCATGGGTGGGGGCTGGCTGGTTTGCTCTGAAGGGTGTCCTGGATCAGGGTGGGGGTCCCCACTGGGGTGCCTGGCCAGCCTAGGTGAGGGGCTGAGGGCTGTTTTCAGGCTGGGTCTGAAGCTCCCAACTGCTCCTTTTTTTCTTTTTTTTAATTCTGGGCCAGCTTTAGCTCTGGCTCCAGCTCTGAGGCCTCAGCTGCTGAAAGTAGGTATCTGGTTTGTTTAGGTTCTATAATCGAAACTCTGTATCAACTCCAGCTCTGAGATCCCAGGCTCGCTGAAAGCAGGTTTCTGGGGTTTTGTTTGGCTTCTATATTTGTTACAATGTTTCTTAAACTGCAGGCTCAGAGGCCAGCAAGGCAGGTGGGGAACGTTGGTTTCCTCCGTCACTGAAGCAAGCAAGCCTCATGTTAGTTTCAAGCTGCCTGGCTGCCGGCCGCCATCTTGGCTGGCATTTAATTTGCATATCTCGCTGATTAGCTAATGGGAAGGGTAGCGGTCGTACGCCAATTACCATGTTTCTCTTTTATTAGATAGGATGTTTACTTTGAATTTATATTAGTTCACACAAACGCTCCATCCATGCTTTTGTTCCGGCCCTCCGGTCCAGTTTAAGAACCCATTGTGGCCCTCGAGTCAAAAAGTTTGCCCACCCCTGCCCTAGAGTCTAGGGCCTAGACCAGCCGTGGGCAAACTACGGCCCGCGGGCTGGATCCGGCCTGTTTGAAATGAATAAAACTAAAAAAAAGACCGTACCCTTTTATGTAATGATGTTTACTTTGAATTTATATTAGTTCATACAAATACTCCATCCATGCTTTTGTTCCGGCCCTCCGGTCCAGTTTAAGAACCCATTGTGGCCTTCGAGTCAAAAAGTTTGCCCACCCCTGGCCTAGACAGTCCCTTGGATGTCCTCTTTCCTGGCTCCCTGTCTTTGGCTGTCTGGGCTTATTCCCTTGTTAGTGAAGCATACCCTTCAGTAGCTTTCTGAGGAGGCGTTCATTGAAGATGGAAGTTTTAAGACCTGGCATATCTGTGAATTATTGTTCTACCTTCTTATATAATTGGTAGTATAACGGTTTAGAATTCCAAATTGAAATGGTTTTTGTTCAGTTTTGAAGGCAGTGCTCCAGTGTCTTCTAGCTTCCATTATTGCTGTTGAGACCAGTGCCATTCAGGTTAACAGGAAACCTGTGTTTTTCTTTTTGTGGAAGTTGATATGCGCTTCTCTTTTTCACAAGCATGCTTCTTGGTGTGGGTCTGTTTTTAACCATTGTGCTAGGTACTCTGGATCTTTGCATTCTGGAGACTCATGGCCTTTTATTCTGGGAAGTTACTGTATTTTGAAATTTAACCAAATTTCCTCCCTTTCATTGATCTGTTTTCTCTATGAACCTCAAATTTTCTTATTTGTTTCTATCTGGTTTTCTGTCTTAATTGCCTTTTTGACTTATTGCTAGGAGATTTTCTGAATTTTATCTTTGTTCAGTTTTAAAATTTCTGTTATCATATTTTTAATTTCCAAGAGTTCTTTTTAAAATGTGGTCAATTTTTTAGCATTGTGTTTTTATTTATGAATTATCTCTTATGTCTCTTAGGCTATTAATAATGGTTTTGTTTTTATAGGTTTTCTTTTCCCTGCATAGTTTTTAAATTCCTTTTGTTAGTTTTATTCTCTGTCTTTCATATGAGATGTTTCCTTAAATTTCTTCTGATCTTTGGCTCTCTGCCTATATCTAGGGGGTAGGGGTGGGGCAATTAAAACTGATTCGAAGTTCCTTAGGTGAGGGTGGGGCTCCTTGACTTTAGTCTTGCTTGTGGGCTGAACCTGCTGGGTGTTTCACTGGGGAAGTCTTGATGTCAGTATTTCTAGGTGTTTTTTCTTGGGTTAGTTGGATTCCCCAGAGAAGTAAGTAGCTTCCACTCTCCTGCCTGGAAGGCATCAAGCTGGCCAGCCTTTTGGGAACCTAGATGGGGAAAAATGCTTTGTACTTGGAATAGCAGAAAGAGCACACACAATTGATAATGTGAAATGTAAGGTTGTTTTCATTAATAACGAATAACGAATTAAGCCTTGCTACAGTTATCTTCATTTGCCCCAGAACTTGGTGGTTTAAAAATTGTTATACTCATGGTTTCTGTGGGTCAGGACTTCAGAGAGGGCATAGAAGGAACAGCTGGTGTCAGCTCCATGTGTCTAGGGCCTCAGCCAGGTTGACTTGATAGCTAGGGGGCCTGGAATCATCTTTCCATGTTTGGTGTTTGCTTCTGGCTGTGCTGGGAAAATGGAGTAAATTTACGTGTGGTCTTGCCTTTCTCACAGCATGGTGGCATCAAAAGTTGAACTTCTCCCGTAGTTTCTGAGTGCTCCAGTGTGAGTTGTTGTAGTGAGTGTGTGGGAAGCTGCATTTTTTTTTTTCTTGCCTTGGAAGGCAAGCAATGTTATTTAGCACTGTGTTCTGTTAGTTATAAGTGAGTCCACCTAGATTCTTCAAGAGGAGGGGATGTAGACTTCACCTCATGATGGTAGGAATGTCAGGGTTGGATTATAACAAGAGCATGTGAGATGAGAGAGAATGATTTGACTATCTTGAAAAATAACAATCTTACAGACCCTAAATTGGGTATTAAGATACTTGTAGGTATAGTGATAAGTAATGAATACAGGCTTATAGTGGAGGGACTGAGTCAAGCAAGACTTCAGAAATGAACCTGCCCATGTGAGTTTTCTTAAGAAATGTTAGGCCAGCCGGTAGTGTCTTCACTTCCTAGTGTGAGAATCAGGTTCAAGAGGCTAATGAAAACTAGATATACAGTTAATTAGTGATAACACTAGATTAAAGTTTAGTTGTTCTGACATTTAGCCCAAGCTCACATTGGGAAAATTGAATTCTTAGTTCTTTATGATTATAAAGAGGTTTGGCACAGATAGTAGGAGAAGCTTTCAGATAAATGGTAATGCCATATATGAGGCCACAAAAGCAGTTCTTAACATATAAAAATTTGTTCTTAAACTTCTGAGGTCTCCATGTTAGGTTGACAGAGGAGTGGAAGTACTGAATCTGCCATGACCTAGTAGTCATTTTCTCTCCTGGTTTTAATTGAGAAAATGTATAAGAATTTTGTTTGTTTTAAGATTTGCATAGTAGCACCAGAAATGAGGATTCTGTCTTCTGTCTAAACTGTTGAAATACTTTATTTTCTCATTAATCAGGAAGCCCAGAACCTCATGGCCCTGACCAATGTGGACACCCCATTAAAAGGTGGACTTAACACACCTTTGCACGAGAGTGACTTCTCAGGTGTGACTCCGCAGCGGCAGGTTGTACAGACCCCAAACACAGTTCTTTCAACCCCATTCAGGTATCTGTCTTCTATATATATATAAAAGGCTAAGCGACTGTCCGGTAGCTATGACATGCACTGACCACCAGGGGGCAGACACTCAACGCAGGAGCTGCTGAGCTGTGGTGACTTAGCAGTGGTGGTTCTTGGGTGACACACCCCGGAACCAGAGAGGAGGGAGCCTGATTCCAGGGTGCGCCACCTGAGAACCAGCCTCTCGCAATCCGGGACCCCTTGGGAAATGTTGGAGACCTGGTTTCGGCCCAATCCCTGCAGGTCAGGCCAAGGGACCCCACCTGCTGGAGGGACCCTGCTCACTTCACAGATGCCCTTCGAGCCATGGCACCACCCCAGGTGTGGTCGGCTGGGGAAAGACCGTGGGAGGTTGGCTACAGGGTGTGTCCGGCCCCTCTCGCCTAGTCACACCCCCCCTCCCCTAATTAATTTTCTTTCAATGTGCACGAATCCATGCACTGGGGCACTAGTTATAAATAAATTCTCTTTTAGATAAACTTGAATCTGAGAACTTGGACAACATGTTTCCTTTAGTAATGTTAACAGAGTATGGAAATAGCGATCAACTTGTCTTCGTGACTTTTCCTCACTCAGTAGTAAATACCATAATAGTATCCAGGAAATGGTTAAATACTATATGGAGCTTCCTTTCTGCAGTTTCTGATGCCTAACACCTTGTTTCCAAATACGTTTTATCTGATTTAAAAGAGCAAATAAATCCATTATTAGTAATCATTTGGTGAATTTGTTAAAAATTATTGTCCTTTTAATGTATGTACTACTATTGCTTTTCCCCAAACATTTTATTATGGAAATTTATAACATGTGAAGAGGTTGAAACAATGGTAAAACAAACATCCCTACACTCACCACCTAGGTTTCTATAGTTGTTAACGTTTTACTGTATTTGTTTTATCACATATCTATTCATCTATCAATTCATCTTATTTTAATGCATTTCAGAATAACTTGCTGTATCAGTTTATTTCACAGCTAAACACTTCCTTGTGTATATCATTAACTAGAGTTTAGAGTTCAGTATCTGTTTGTAATTCTTTTGTTTTAAGCTACTGTGTTTTAAAGAAGAATTTTAAAAATACAAACGTTATAGAAGCAAGTTGTATTAAAATGGAATTTGAGCTTTTAAAGGTTGGACATATTTGGGGTTTACTTTTAATTTTAAACATTAGGATATGTCCTCCCACTGGTTATTTAGGTAGAAAGCATCTGACTATTACAGCCCTGCATGACAGCACAATGAAGAACCATTGGCAGCCAAATCCTCATTTAATAACACTTGCAAGGCTTGTAAGAGAGCCTAATTCCTCTTTTTTCTGTATATGTCTTGTCTCTCAACTACATTGTAAGCTCCTTGGGGGCAGGGACCATGTCTGATATGGTAACACCTCACCTCACCTCACCTCACCTCTGGGGAACAGCTTCTCTGGCAGCATTCACTTGTCTGGAACACAACCAAGATACAGGAAGTAAGCAACCAAAATAAAAAAGGCTTGGACAATTAAAATTTAAGTTGCAAAGTCTATTAGGATTTTATTCCTAAGAGATTCTCTTAGTTCTCACTCAGAAGTATTCATATTTAGATATGATTCCAAAAGAAAAAGAAATGTAAGGAGAGGAACTACTTAGAGTATGCACACTGATGATAACGATGTGATAGCTAATAGAGGCAGGCATAGAAATGATAAGAAAAAGGCCCTAAATTAAAACTGAGAGTCTGGGGTCTTTGACTGTGGTAGCTCTCCTTTCTGTCTCCTGTATGTTCTTAGCTACTGTACCGTATCAAGAAAAAGTTGAAATAATGTTTGGGGGACCTATCTTAGGAAGGCAAGTAATATCAAATGTAATGACTTTATTTGAAGTCATTAAAATAAAAATACTGTGTGTAAATAATAAGCTAGTTGAGCCAAACCTTTATTTTAATCTAGAGATCTAACCTAAAACCAGATTAGGGTGACAATTTCTGGAATCTTTATTTATTGTTTTCCTTGTAAAATAATTTGTGAAAAGCATTTGAAAGCACAATACAAATAAAAGTGGTACTTGTATTAATTAGAATTTTTGTCTTTCTAGGACTCCCTCTCATGGATCGGAAGGGCTGACTCCACGGAGTGGGACAACTCCCAAACCAGTTGTTAACTCCACCCCGGGTAGAACTCCTCTTCGAGACAAGTTAAACATTAATCCTGAGGATGGAATGGCAGACTACAGTGATCCCTCTTATGTGAAGCAGATGGTACATGCCAATTCCTGTTTAATACTCTTAAAAGAAAATTTTTTTTCTTCTATCTTATGGCTACCAAATTAAAATTCCCTCCCTCCCCAGTCAGTGCATATTACTTATTTCTTAATCTACACACCTATGGATGTCAGCAAAGGAAAATGATTTGCAGTACTTAATCTCATGCCTATTTTTTCTTATTCTTAAAATGTTTGTGAGTATTGATTATGTCTGTAGTAATACTTGTATCTTTTGTGATTTTAATTTTTATCATTTACTAATCAATACTTGAATGGTACATTTATTTTTATATGTTTAATTATTTTAAAAATACTTTTTAATTGATTTCAGAGAGGAAAGGAGAGGGAGAGAGAGAGAGAATCATTGATCAGCTGCCTCCTGCATGCCCCACACTGGAGATCAAGCCCACAACCCAGACATATGCCCTGATCAGGAATTGAACTGTGAGCTCCTGGTTCATAGGTCGATGCTGAACCACTGAGCCATGCCAGCTGGGTGATACATTTATGTATTTTTAAAAATTTTTATTTACATAAAATAAATTGTTAGTTTTGAACACCTCGAATCAGATTTTGACCCTTGATTCCTGTTTGCTCTATACTTCTTCAAGGACAAATCTATATCTCAAAGCAAAGTTAATTTGAAGCTTATTGCTGATCTTAATAAAGATTTCTTTCATATGTTTTGCATGGTGATGTAGAAAGGTAATGATAAAAATGAAGGTCAGCCCTAGCCGGCATGGCTTAGTGGATCGAGTGTTGGCCTGTGGACCAAAGAGTCCTGGGTTTAATTCTGGTCAAGGGCATGTACCTTGGTTGCAGGCTCCTCCCAGACCTGAGCCCTTGTCGGGGCTCATGTAGGAGGCAACCAATCTCTGTGTTTCTCTCACATCAATGTCTCTCTGTCTTCCTTCTACTCTCCCAAAAAAATCCATGGGAAAATATCCTCAGGTGAGGATTAACAAACAAACAAAAATAATGAAGGTTGCAGTTTTGCTCAGCCTATGGTAATGCTTTTATTACATCACTATTAGGCCTTATTATGATGCCACAGAAAATCATTGTGAGATATTTATAATAAGTTCTAATGATGGCCTGTTTTCAGTTTACAAATTCTAACTTCATATATAGATTTGGTTAGGGAGTTTTTTTTTAATGGTGAAAATTGATATCAACTAATGCCAACTCTGAATGGCTACGTAAGAATTAAACAAATGAAAAATATGTGTGCAAAGCACAGATCTGGACACTTCTAGGGATCTAAAGTTGAGTAAAGATGTCCTTTGTCTTAAAGAAGTTTATACTCTGGAGAGATTGGCAGTACTAAACCAAGTTAAAAAATAATTGTAATATAAGAACAGAGTAAGCTCTTTGAGTAAAACCAACATGCTTATTTAGGGCGGCCAAGGAAAGGAATAACAGTTGGTTGGGAACTAGTAAAGCCTTCATTGACAAGGTACGCTCAGAAGGAAGGTGGTGGCTGTTCCAGAGGGAGGTCACAACATGAGTAAGTGTGGAGCATGTTTTTAGCAACTCATCATGTCTACACCTAGCAAATGTGTAATGGAGCAGTGGGGAGTGAGATTGGAAAGGTGAGCTGAGGATATACTGGGAAAACTTTGGGCCCATTGGACTGTTTTTTTGGCTTACATATGATCTAGTCTTTCTATTAAAAATATACGTACACACACACACACACACACACACACACAAATTCAGGCATCTTTTCAGGTTAGATTTTATTAGTCCAAGGACAAATTGACTTTTGAACTTGTTCTTTTGATTGCTATTAAATTTGTGTCAGCAATGTTTTCCTTAAGTGGAAATCCTGAAGGCCTTTTTTTGCCCCTGTAGAGGTACTTCCCAAACCTTCTATTAGCATATGCCAGAGTAATTCCCACTGATTCCAAATTGATTTGTCTTAATGTAGGGAAGAACCAGAGATAGAAATTTAAAAACTTGTCTCAAATCTGAAGTTAGGGATCATTTTTTAGAATTAAAATTAGGCTAATTATATTTTAGGAGCTCATAAAATATTGGTTGGTTACTTAAAGTATATGAATTGAGAAGGATTGATTTTTTTTTTTTTCCTACAGGAAAGAGAGTCTCGTGAACACCTCCGTTTAGGGTTGATGGGTCTTCCTGCCCCCAAGAATGACTTTGAAATTGTTCTACCAGAAAATGCTGAGAAGGAGCTTGAAGACCGTGAAATAGATGATACATACATTGAAGATGCTGCTGACGTGGATGCACGGAAGCAGGTGGGTAGTTGTGCTGGAAAGGAAGGAAGCGTGGGTTTGCTGAATGTGTCAGTGGGCTGAAAAGAATGGCCATTAAATGTCTCAAGATCTCTACCTATGAGGTTTTTCAATATTTAAAAAACCCTAAATCACTTACATCAGTAATAATATATACTCACATCCTATATAATAAAAGGCTAATATGCAAATCAAATGAATGGTGTAATTACCAGTCACTGTGACGCACACTAACCACCAGGGGGCAGCCGCTCAATGCAGGAGCTGCCCCCTGGTGGTCAGTGCACTCCCACAGCGGGAGCGCCGCTCAGCCAGAAGCCTGGCTCACGGCTGATGAGCGCAGTGGCGGTGGTGGGAGCCTCTCCCGCCTCTGTGGCAATGCTAAGGATGTCTGCTGCCAGCTTAGGCCTGCTCCCTGCTGTGAACGGGCCTGAGTCGTCAGTCAGACATCCCCCGAGGGCTCCTGGACTGCAAGAGGGCACAGGCCAGGCTGAGGGACTCCCACTCCCTGAGTGCACGAATTTCGTGCACTGGGCTTCTAGTAATTAATAATATACTCAGAATATCTTGATAGGCATTCTTAAAATGTGTGTGTATGTATGTATCTATCTGTCTATCTATCTATATCAATTTAAATGTCCTTTGTCAAATTCATTATGCTTCCTTAAAATACACATAAGTAGTCTTTTAGACATTGCTTTTTACTCTAGCCAAGAGTTACTGATCAGTATTAAAAACAAGTACATTTTGGATTGGTTGAGTAAATGGTTTTAGATCAGTGTACACTAATAAAAAATGTGGATTTGGAAATTTAGAGAGAGTGCCAGAATAATAATAGTAACATTTTGTATTAATATATCTTATAGTTAATTACTTTCTCATTTGCACATAGCAACTTGGTGATGTAAATAAAATAGCTTCATTTTAGAAATGAGGAAACAGGCACAGGTGAATTAAGTGAACCTCAGCAGGTCTCATGGCTGGAAAGTGGTGACTCTTGAACTGAAACAGACTGAGTGGCCCCTTTTAGGGATTCTTGCAGCCTCGTTCAGGTGGTTTTGAAGTTGAATAATTTCATCGGGTTAGAGTGAGAATGGCATCATTGGAAATCGTATTTTAGAGGAAACCACATGAATATGCTTTTTAGTGGGAATATAGGGTAATACTTTCTGTGTTTAGTTCTTTTAGTGACTTTGAAATACATTTAGTCAGAAATGTTGTGAGATTCTAATGTGCTATCCCACATGATTCATAATTTGAGGATCAAACACCTTCATTGGCCAGAGTTTTAAATTTAAAAAAGTAGCTTTGGGTGGATGAAAAGGGTTGTGTTGCAGAGAAATAGTCACCTCATATTTGAGGATTCTGATTTACACAAGGAAAGGATAATTATCTGATGGACACAGCATGTAAATTTGGGGCGTACTCTGGTAGATGTTGGAAGTTCTTAATTTCTGTTTTACTGAGAGAACGAATAGATTAATTTCCGTTGCCTTATATGGCCTTTCTGCAAACTTACAGATGTCTAGATCTTTAGCTCTTGAACATACATGTCCTTATAGACTGAAGTGTTTTCAACTTTATTGAAGTGTGTTAAATACTGTATAAGGGCAATAATGGATATAAACATAATTTTTTAGGCCATACGAGATGCAGAGCGTGTGAAGGAAATGAAGCGAATGCATAAAGCTGTTCAGAAAGATCTTCCAAGACCATCAGAAGTAAGTGTTAGAATTTTTGGCTGGGGAAGTTTTATTTTTTTTTTCATGTGATTGATTTCTTTTTAATATCATTCATAAGTCTTATAAAACAAAATTTTATCTACTGCCTAGAATATAGTACAGAATTTCTCAGTTCTAGTCACTGGAACAAATAAGTATTTAAAAGGGGGAAAAAAAGAGGATTTCTTTCGAAAATGTATAACTGCTATTTATGCTAGAACAAGTAATGTTAGTATATTGCAGTGAATATGTTTGGTAATTTTACTTGTTTTACAATTTTAGGTAAATGAAACTATTCTAAGACCCTTAAATGTAGAACCGCCGTTAACGGATTTACAGAAAAGTGAAGAACTAATCAAAAAAGAAATGATCACAATGCTTCATTATGACCTTCTACATCACCCTTATGAACCATCTGCAAATAAAAAAGGAAAAACTGTAGGATTTGCTACCAATAATTCAGAGCACATTGCCTATCTGGAACATAACCCTTACGAAAAGTTTGCTAAAGAAGAGTTGAAAAAGGTATGATTGAGCGGAATATTTCTCTTTTGAGATTTAAGTAGTTGTTTGATGCCGTGTATCATGGACAAATATTAACTTCTTTCCCCATACTGATATTCATGGGTATTCTCCTCCCCCCTCCCCCGCCCCCCCCATCCCAGTGTTCAGCGATAGGTCTTTATTATATCAACACTGGCTCTGGTGATGGTGTTTTTGTTTCATGGGTGTGCACCTGATTGATAGTTGCTACAGCTCAGCTATGTCTCTGAATAGAATTGAATGCCTTTAATACTTGAACTTCATTTATTTAGACCAATATAAAATACAAGGATATATTAAAAATGTTTACAATTTAAGCTCTTTATCTATTCAAAGAAAGGAAATATTTTTTACTGAATTTATTTCCCTCACATGATTTCTCTCTGTCCTTTTGGATATAAGGAGAGAAATATTTTCTTGTATGAAGTCTGTCCTGCCTCTTCTTCCATATTATTATTTCTGCTCTGACAGAACAAACAGCTGTGAATAGAAATTGTGAATTTCTATTGTGTGTTAAATACTGTATAATGGCAATAATGGATATAATGGATTTCTATTGTGAATAGAAATCTGTACAGTGGTGTAAGAAAATACAATTGGTTTCATGGTTGGAAGCAGAGTGGTCATTAGCTTAAAAGTCTTTATCTCTGAGGGGTAATGATTGGAATGGCCTAAATGTAAAACAAATAAGATTCTTTTTTCTGTCTTTTCTCCTGCACTTTTCCTCTCTCTCTTTCTTTGTCTTACTTTGTATTTTTCTTATTGCTAAGTGATACATATTTATTATAGGATTTTTAGAAAATAGAGAAAGGGAGGATTTAGATTATTTCAAAATTTGCCCCTGATTTCTGAGTAACCTCAACTTACTTTTTTTAAGTGCGTGCAGTTGGAACTTGACATCTGCTGAGTGACTCTGCTGCAGTAACCGCATCTAATTATTGAACTGGGTTTGAGAATTAGACAGTGAACTTGATACTTGAAGAGTTTTTTCTCTTTTTAGAGTAAAAACATGAGGGAAGATGGCATTTAAGAAATAAGCTTTTCTACACCCTAGCTGGTTTGGCTCAGTGGATAGAGCGTCGGCCTGCAGACTGAAGGATCCCGGGTTTGATCCCGGTCAAGGACACATGCCTGATTGTGGGCTTGATCCCCAGTTGGGGGCATGCAGGAGGCAGCTGATCAATGATTCTCTCTCGTCATTGATGTTTCTATCTCTCTCCATCTCCCTTCCTCTCTGAAATCAATAAAAATATATAAAAAATAAATAAAGCTTTTCTAAATTTATTGTATGTATGGACACCTGAATAAGGATCACATCTGCCCTGGCTGGTGTGGCTCGGTTGGTTGGAGCATCATTCCATACACCAATAAATTTCGGGTTCAGTTCTCAGTCATGGCACATACCTAGGTTGCAGGTTTGATCCCTGGTTGGGAGAGCGTAGGGGAGGCAGCTGATCGATATTCTCTTACCTCGGTATTTTCTTCTCTTTCTCTCCCCCCTCCCCCCTCTCCCTCTCCCCTCCTCCTCCTCTCCCTTCCTCCCTCTAAAATTAATGCCTGTCCTTGGGTGAGGATTAAAAAAGAAAAAAGGGATCACATCATTGCTAATAGAGATTCTGTAGGGGATAGATTTTAATACATTTTTTAATTAATAATTTTTTTTTTGTTAACCCTCACCTGACGATATTTTATCCTTTTTTTAATTTTTTTTTAGAGAGAGTGGAAGGGAGGGAGTGGGGGGAAGGGAGAGAGAGAGAGAGAGAGAGAGAGAGAGAGAGAGAGAGAGAGAGAGAGAGATGTGAGAGAGCGACATCGATTAGTTGTCTCCCGCACCTGCCCCATTCGGGTCAGTAGGGGATTGAACCTGTAACCCAGGCACTTGACTAGGAATGGAACCCGGGGACCCTTCCCTACTTGGGCTGATGCTCTAGCCACTGAGCAACACTGGCTAGGGCCTAATGAAATTTTTGAAAGTAGTAATTGTAAATAGTGTTTTAGAATTATTCAAAACCATTATAAATTAGTTTAAATATTTTTTCATATTTTATTTATAGTCCTATTTGTTCCAAAAAGATTTAAAGCAGTTATTTATCTAGCAGATTATTTTATTTTAAGTTCTTTATTGTTGAAAGTATTACATATATCTCCTTTTTTCCCCCATTGATCTCTCCCCAGCCACTCCCACCCCCCTATTTAGCGATTTCTGTATGGACAATTTAAAGATTACGTAGGTGTATTCTCCCCTAATAATGATAAGAGCTGAACTTGTAAATTTTTATTATGTACAGTTTCAGAGTGGGATACCATTTCTCTTACCATAAAGTGTCAACTTTTCATTAAGTGTGTTAACATTGGTTTGTTTCCATTATTTTCTCTAAGAGGTATTGTTTAAAAGTATTTATTCTTGCCCTAACCAGTTTGGTTCAGTGGATAGAGCATCGGGGGCATGTATCTTGGCTGCGGGCACATCCCCAGTAGGGGGTGTGCAGGAGGCAGCTGGTCAATCTCATCGATGTTTCTAACTCTTGATCCCTCTCCCTTCCTCTCTGTAAAAAATCAATAAAATATATTTTTTAAAAAGTATCCATTCTTTAGCTTACATAGACATGATTTTTATATTTTTTGTTTAAAATTTTTTGTATGCTGATCATTTCTCTTAATTTTACATATTTTGATCTGTTTATTTTCTGATATTACTTAGAATGATTGAATGCTTTCTATAAAGCACTAAAAATGATTGTCAGTTTTTCATGAGCCATGAGGCAAAGGGCTGGAAGGTTCATGTGGTATGCTCACAGAATCTGGGTGTCTGGTGTTGGGCTAGGCACTCTATTAAAGCTGTGGTTTGAATCCAGGCCTGCAGAACTCCCCCGAACCCCCTCGTTCTTAGTGAGCAAAAACTGGCCTATGATCCATCAATATTTGACTGGTGCCCCCAATCTCATTCTCTAGCAATGTCAGGGACATTCTTTCAGATGAGAACAAAGGCATGTGTAAAAAAATGCCTAATTCCATGATCATGTGAAGTCCCTCATGTAGATAGGGGTAGTAGAGTGGAAGCCTTGGTGGTGTTTGGCTTGAGCACGATCCTGCTTTGTCTGCTAACGATATGTTTTTGAACAAGGTGTTTCACCTCTTTGAACCTTAGTGTCATCAACATTAAAATGAGGTTAATATTGACTACTTTCTAAGATGGCTGTGGTATTTGGAGATAATATACGCAAAACTATTAAATTCAGTTCCTGGCACATAGTAGACACCTGAGAAATGGTAGCTGTTGTTCTAATGAGTGAAGGCAAAGGATTGTTTATATTATTGGGGCTACATGGATGCTTGGCTTTTCAGATCAGTCTGCATTGACTTACAGGCTTCCTTACTCATTTTACTTAGGCACTTTTCCCCTTCCAAGAAACAACCAGTCAACTAGAACTCCTTGCCTTTGTCCAGAGGAGGAGGAAAAACAGTCTTTAAAGCTCCCAGTTGATGGCAAGTCTTTCTAATACCCAAACTTATTGAAATTATTGTCTTAAACAGGCCCAAGATGTTCTGGTACAGGAGATGGAAGTGGTAAAACAAGGTATGAGCCATGGAGAACTCTCAAGTGAAGCTTATAACCAGGTGTGGGAAGAATGCTACAGTCAAGTTCTGTATCTCCCTGGGCAGAGCCGCTACACACGGGCCAACCTAGCAAGCAAAAAGGACAGAATTGAGTCACTTGAAAAGAGGCTTGAGGTTGGTATCCATTTAACATTCTAATTTAAATGTACTTTGATTGAAATAATGAGCCAAGTAATATCCCTGGAAACAACTTCAGGAAAATAGACCTGAGGTGATTTGCCTTTGCAGTTCTTGAGGGAAAACTACACTGCAGTGTTTGGTCCTCTTTGGCTTTCTTTTCCATTGGATTTTCACGAGTTGCTGGCCTTCATGATGAAGAGTAACCTCCCAGTTGGCCACAGGTCAATCAGAACCTTTAAGATGTGGGAGCAAGGAACCAAGACATTGACACTAGCCCTAGCCAGTTTGGCTTAGGGGCTAGAGCGTGGGCCGGCGGACCGAAGGGTCCCAGGTTTCATTCCAGTCAAGGGCATGTACCTCGGTTTCAGGCTCAGTCCCTGGCCCCAGGTTGGGGTGCAAGTGGGACGCAGCCAATTGACGTGTCTCTCACCTTGATGTTTCTCTGTCACTCTCCCTTCCTTCCACTCTCTCTAAAAATCAATTGAAAAATATCCTCAGGTGAGGATTAACAACAATAAAGTTAACACTAGTCACTCAGAACAATGTAGCTCAATGCCAGAGTAGCTTGTTTTCTCTAAGAAGGAAACTCAGTGGTTCCAAGGAGCCTTTTTCTATAGCCAAAAGAGCACATTTAGCCCTAGCTGGTTTGGCTTAGTGGACAGAGCGTTGGCCTGCGGACTGAAGGGTCCCCGGTTTGATTCTGGTCAAGGCCCCATGCCCCTGTTACAGGCTCGATTCCCAGGAGAGGGCATGTAGGAGGCAGTCGATCAGTGATTCTCATCATTGTTGCTTCCATCTCTTTCCCTCTCCTATCAATAAAAATATATTTTGAAAAAAGCACACTTAGAAAACTTTGATACCTTTTGTTCATCCTCTCTGATTCCTGTGAGTTTGTTACAGAGAGAGAGCGCCGAGTTGGATTATCCAGACAATGGCTTCCATGATTTTTCATGTTTGTGAAAATGTTGAAATGTACCAGATGGGAGTTTCATTACATGTGGTTTCTTAATATTGTCTGCATTTTTTGAATTGCAGAATCCGTGTAGGCATTTTGCCAGTGGCATGCAAATTGTGGTTCATGGACCACTAGGCTGCCTTGTGGATTCTTAACGGTGGTCTTCAGGGATGTTTCTGAGGCCAAGTTATAATGGGAAGGAGAAAGGGTGCTTCATGAAATCACATTATGCAATTTTCTCTTATGTGAGTGCCAGTTTCTCTTTACAGCAAGCATATTTGAAAATATTTTTATTTAGGGTTAACATAAAAAATGATAAAATTACTGGGGTGGTCAGGGCTATGTAGGGCTAGGGAAATGAGCAGGAAAAAGGAAGAAAGCAATACATTTTTAAAATTCTGGAATGTAAGGTCTTTTTTTTTTTCTTCTCACCCAAGGAGAAAGGAAGGAAGAGAGAGAGAGAGAGGGGGTAATAGAAACATGATTGGTTGCCTCCCATATACACCTCAACTAGGGTTTGAACCCTCAACCTTTTGGTGTATGGAATGATGCTCCAACCAGCTGAGCCACCTGGCCAGGGTATAAAGGTCTTTTTAATTAAAGTATTGTTGACATACAATATAATATCAGTTTCAGTTGTACAACATAGTGATTTGATTTTTATGTACCTTACAGAGTGATCATCACGAGCAGTCTCGTGACAGTCTGTCATCGTACAAAGTTACCGTGATATTATTGATTGTATTCCCTATCTCTGTTACATCCCTGTGACCTACAAGTTTGAATTATAAGTTTGTACCTCTCAATCCCCTTCATCTTTTTGCCCATCCTCCCATCACTCAACCCTCTGGCGTCAATCAGTTTGTACTCTGTATGAGTCTGTTTTGTTTGTTCCTTTGCTTAGTTTCTTAGAGTCCACATATAAGTGAAATGTTTGTCTTTCTCTGACTTATTTCACCTAGCATATACCCTCTAGGGCAGTGATGGCGCACCTTTTGAGCTCGGCGTGTCAGCATTTTGAAAACCCCTAACTTAACTCTGGTGCCGTGTCACATATAGAAATTTTTTGATATTTGCAACCATAGTAAAACAAAGACGTATATTTTTGATATTTATTTTATATATTTAAATGCCATTTAACAAAGAAAAATCAACCAAAAAAATGAGTTCGTGTGTCACCTCTGACATGAGTGTCATAGGTTTGCCATCACTGCTCTAGGTCCATACATGTTGTCACAAATGGCAAAATTCCATTTTTTTTCCTGTGGCTAAGTAATATTACATTACACACACACACACACACACACACACACACACACACACACATAAATATAGTCACATCGTCATTTAAAATATTTTCTTTGATTGCCCTGACCCAGCAAACCGTGACCTCCTGATTCATAGGTCAACGCTCAACCACTGAGCCACACCAGCTGTCTGTCACATCATCTCTATCCATTCATCTATGGATGGACACCTAGGTTGCTCCCATATCATGGCTGTGGTAAATAATGCTGCGGTGAACAAAGGAGTGTGCATATCTTTTCAAATTATGTTTTCATTTTCTTTAAATAAATGCCCCAGCTAAAATTGCTGAACTATATGGTAGCTCTATTTTTAATTTTTTTGTGGAACCGCCATACTATTTTCTATAGTGTCTGTGCCAATTTACAATTTCACCAACAGTTGTACAACACCAACAGTTCACATAGATTTCCTTTTTTCTACATCTTAACCATTGTTACTTGTCTTTTTGATGACAGCCATTCTGACAGGTGAGGTGATATCTCATTGTGGTTTTTCTTTGCATTTCCCTGATAATTAGTGAGGTTGAGCTTCTTTTCCTATGTCTGTTTGCCATCTGTATGTCTTTGGAGAAATGGCTATTCAGGTCTTCTGCCCATTCTTAATTGGATTATTTTTAATGCTGAATTTTATAAATTCTTTATATATTTGGATATCAACCACTTATCAGATATATCATTTGCAAGTACCTTTTCCCATTTGGTAGGTTGTCTTTTTGTTTTGTTTGCTTCACTCTCCAAAAGCTTTTTGGTTTAATGAATCCCATTTGCTTATTTTTTATTTTGTTGCCCTTGCCCGCCTGAAGAGACACATCCAAGAAGCTATTTTTTTTTTTAAATATATTTTATTGATTTTTTACAGAGAGGAAGGGAGAGAGATAGAGAGTCAGAAACATCGATGAGAGAGAAACATCGATCAGCTGCCTCCTGCACATCTCCTACTGGGGATGTGCCCGCAACCCAGGCACATGCCCCTGACCGGAATCGAACCTGGGACCTTTCAGTCCGCAGGCCGACGCTCTATCCACTGAGCCAAACCGGTTTCGGCCAAGAAGCTATTTTTTTTTTGAAGTTATTCTAAGTTTTTATTTTTAAGATCACATGTATAGGTATGTAATGGCTAATGTTTGTGAACCTCTTTTATCATTTAGTGGGAAATTAGAATTTGTTTTTGAAGTAATTCTCATCGCGGATGGAATCCTAGCAATCCAGTGTTGCTGGTTATTCTGGTTGTATTACTAACTTCCAGCAGGGTGTGCTGTTGCTCTGTTTTAATTCACAGAGTCAGGGAAAGTAGAACATCAGTGGTTAAATTTTCTGTTTTCTGTTGTGTAGGCTTCATTTCTTATAAATGGTAGTTAGTGTAATTCTGATCTAAGGTCAGCATCATAGCTGATTGGAAAGCTATTTGGAAGCTTCTTGTAACATTTATATATAAATACTTAGGTCTCTCACTTAGTTAGAAATTATCTCATTTGAGGTGGGTAAGCTCTTTTCTGCCTCAAATGGTAAGGACATTTTGTGCTGTTTAAACTGCAAAAAAAAGTTTTTTCCTAAATCTCGTTTACTTTGTTGAGGCACTAACTTTCATGACAGCAAATAAATGTGTCACAGAGTGAGTGGTGCCATAAAGTACAGTAATTTTTATGTCTATGTCGAATTGGTCTTGTGAGTTTTGAAGGGAAAAGTACAGAAAGAACCACTGCTGTTCTTTTGGAGATTTATTTGGGTCATTTATAAGCCACCATTAAAAACATGTGGTTCTCTTTGTTCATTTCAGTACCAGGAACTGAAATCTTCCGTTGAACTATTTTTGCTGAAGTATTGGTGATTTTGGAAGAATATTCATAAAACAATTTGAAATAATTTTTCTTTTCTTGACTCCTGGATGCTGTTTACCCAACTAGTTACTTTTAAAGGATATGCAATCAAACCCTTTAATTCAGTAAGCTGTGCTTATTTTAATGAAAGTTCATTAAACCTTTACAAAGAAGAAAAGAGACTCAGAAACCCACGTAAACAATTCCTCATTTTACTTGTATCCATCCCGAATTCAGAACTAGGTTTGTCTGAGCTTATTTTAGTTTTTGAAGATACAATTCTACTGGTTTGAAATACATAAATATTTTATTTCAATTGTGGTAATTCTTTCATCATTTCAGTTGATTGCTAAATTATAAACATTATTCAAAGTTTGTTGTGGGGAAGGAACTCCAGTTGTATTATACAAACTAAATGCTATACTTAAATTATCCTTTCCACTCTTAGGTTCAGGGAGATAGGCCTTTCTGTGTAAGCACAGTGTACCATAGCAGTCAGTGTGTTTGATTTTTGATGCCATGAACTTTGGAACAGTGAATTTAAATTATGGCTCTATCATAGTATATCAAGCACGATGAAATCCAGCTTTGTCGTGGTTGGTGTCTCCTAAATGGATTAAAAAAATATACCCAGAGGTTTCTATTGGAGCTAGTCTTTGAACTGTTACTCATGATTAATATAAGATAGTCATTTAAAACTAATAGAACCACCTCAGGTTTTATGAAGAATGTGGTGGGTGGTATAAGAGTCTGCTAAATCAGAATGTGGACACAAGTCAGAAGTACGTGGGAAAGACTTCTGAATTATAACCAAGTCCATGTATTTTTTTCTGCTTTGGAGGCAGAATCAATTTTAGAACCTTGCCAGACATTTGTGTGTAAATAAGGCAGTAACAGCAAATAGAAATGACAGCT